AAAATGTTTTTAATTGTGTATCAGTTTAACGTTGAATATTATTTATGATTTTATCATGAATATATTTAGTGTATTATATACTTGTATATATAACTAATAGTTTGGTTCCAAATTTACTTATTATCTGAACATCTACTGACTCGTTTTTCTTCTTTTTTTTTAACTTAAAATCAATCCTGATCTAGTCGTCTATACTACAGAAACAAAATCACATTTATATGTCTCCATAAAAAATCCATAGTGCAAGCAACAACTTGAGCTACGTTTACAAACTCTGGTTTATTCCGTTAATCATTAGTTATTAATCAGTTATTCAGATTCATTTCGAAATCTCATTTTGAATCATTTTGGGATTTTTCACCAGTTCTCGGTGTTCTGTGACCCTTTCAGAGATTGTAGTATATATACAAATAAAATTAGAACATCATCGTGATCTCATAGTTTTGTCTAGTGACATAAAATAAAGTTGATTTCCTTTGTTATACAAAACGTGGCTCGTGCATACAAAGAACAGGGGTTTCTAGTGACCGAGCACCAAAGGTTGGGGCCATTATGGAGAAAAACACCTACTTAAATGGTTTATTAAGCGAACGTCATTTGTTATGGCAGTCCGAATAGGTCGGCGGAGCGCGATATGTTCAAGCAAGCGTACATAAAGAAAGCCTATGCTCCGAGCTGCATCTTGGTTCTAAGTTCGACACTTTCTTTATGCCCCGTCAACTGTGAAAATATTAAATAAGAAAAACGGAAATGAGTCAACAAACGGGTTTTCAAAATGTCGCTAGACATTTATTTCAAGCAGGTATTGAGGCATGGCACCATCACAAATAACTTTTTTTAGATGTATATAAAAAAAAGCGTAAATCGTATACTTCTTGCTAATATGAAAAAAATGCGTGTGTAAAACAAACACATGCGTATTGTTTTTATACAAACGAATTTAAATTTGAAGCTGTATTTTCACTTAGAAAACATTTGTCACGTGTGTGCTTATTGTAATTAATACAAGGCTGTAGTCCTCGGTTTCTTAGAAAATTTGCACCACAAGTTCCGAATTCACAACAGATATATTTAAATACTGTGCTAATAATTAACCACCAATATTATGTGATATTACACATTCATTTAATATCCAAGAGGTATTTGCCCCCCCCCCCTACACTAGCTCGGTGATAAGTCCGAAGGCTTATAACACTAAAACTGGGTTTCGATACTCGTGGTGGACACAAATAGCCCATTGTGTAGCTTTGTGCTTAACAACAAAGAAACAAAGAAAATCCAAGAGATTAAAGTAAGCTTCATTTGTTTTCATCCCAAAAAACTGGATTACTGTGCCATTCAGTATATCATATATATATATACTGTATACAAATATATTTATTAGTTAACAGTCAGACCAACACTAACAATAATCCTCCCTTGTACTAGATCGGTATTTAAGCTACAAACTATAAAACTAAACCAACAGCGATGGGAATATACAGCCTATCATATTTAAACTCTAATCACAAATCTCGTGCAAGGATTGAAATTGGAGATTCAATTCAAAATTAGAAGTAAATGTGCGTGTTTAAGCCAGGAGTAAATGTGCGTGTTTAAATTAGGAGTAAATGTGCGTGTTTAAGCCAGGAGTAAATGTGCGTGTTTAAGCCAGGAGTAAATGTGCGTGTTTAAGCCAGGAGTAAATGTGCGTGTTTAAGCCAGGAGTAAATGTGCGTGTTTAAGCCAGGAGTAAATGTGCGTGTTTAAACCAGGAGTAAATGTGCGTGTTTTAGCCAGGAGTAAATGTGCGTGTTTTAAGCCAGGAGTAAATGTGCATGTTTAAGCCAAAAACATCAGTTCAGCTACCATTCGTGTCTGCACTACGTGTTGTTATAAATAGAACAAAGAATTAATTACTAAAGATTAATATCCCAGATCCTATACAAGTCATGTGTGTTACATAACCTCAAAGATCGAATTTCCTATTTTGTTCTTTTCTTTACCTCTTCGATCAAAGAATACTAGATAGATGAAAAAGATTGTTATCTGTCAATTCAAATAATTAGAACAACCCACAACCTCTCTGATCAATGTATATCCACCGCTGTGTATCCTTACTCCCATAAAAAACAATATCTCTCTCACCAAGATACATTTTAATTTTCTAATTACGTGCTTGATAATCTTGTTGTTCAATTGTAATTGTTTTTGTTTTTCCCTTATTTTACGTTGTTTAAATTCATCAAATATTTTGGAGATGCTTTTAAGTTTCTTCTTTTACTTGGAGGTTGACTACTATTTCCCTTCAGTTAGCTAAGAAATTCTTGTTTCTCATGGTAATAATTTTATTTTTTTATCCACCTAATGATATCTATTATCCATCCATTTAAGCCTTTGCCTGCCAAGTGCTCTTGTCCCGTCAATATAGCCAGTCAGCACTATATATATATATAACCTTTGAGGATTTGTATGCCCCATTACATGCTCAAAGTGAATGTATGTTGTCTTCTGGCAATGGTTATTATCAATTCCTTATTCTAGACAGCTCTTCTATTTACTTCATTGTTTTCGCATTTTCCTTTCAGTTGATTGTCAATTTTTTCTTTCTAATTGATTTACTGGCGGATTAGGCTTATGACGTGTAATTTTCTATTGACCAGATGTAACTTTTCATTAGTCTTAATTTAGTGAACGTAGAATGTTTGTTTTTTCTTTATAATTAAATGTTTCATTTCATTAGGTGATGATCTAACTGTCTCTACATATATGTTTCAATCACTTACTTGTATTTACAACTTCCCTAATTAGCTGTTCCAATTAGATGAACGCTGGTACCTGTTCAACATTTATTACATCAACTTAAATGTTTATCGTGGTGTTTTTTGTTGTGTTTTTTAACTTAAAGTGTATTTCAAATCTGTTCACTTGTGTTTTTAACTGTTATTAGTATATTTTGTAAGATTTCCTCATCGTCTTTTATAGTAGTTCCGAATTATCTGCATATTAGGACAATCAAATCCCGTTATTAATTCGGGCAACAGTAGCCCGAGAGTTGTCAGTGGATGCTGTTGACTAGCTGCCTTCCCTCTAGTCCATCAGCTCAAAATTAAGGACGGTTTATGTACAGGTGGTTATTGTATAGCTTTGAGGAAAAATTCTACACAACAACTTTGTTTTATTACTTGCTATTTTGTTTTAATTTTGGTACTATTCACTTTGTTGTAAACACAGAATAAAATTTGTTGTTTTATTACTTGCTATTTTGTTTTGATTTTGGTACTATTCACTTTGTTGTAAACACAGAATAAAATTTGTTGTTTTATTACTTGCTATTTTGTTTTGATTTTGGTACTATTCACTTTGTTGTAAACACAGAATAAAATTTGTTGTTTTATTACTTGCTATTTTGTTTGAATTTTGGTACTATTCACTTTGTTGTAAACACAGAAGAAAATATGTTGTTTTATTCATAATTTCACACTATTATCTTTATGATTTTGAACTTAAAACTTATCTGATATAGTTCCTATTTTTAGAAAAATTGTTGAATTTTTGAATGATGTTATTCATCGCTAACACGAGACTCATACCTTCAAGTTATTCCTTTTCCAAATAAATGTGTGAATTTTCCAGATTTTTGTTTTCGTTGCTGCGATATCTAATAAAATATTTAGTTTTTACATACTCTTCCTTGAAATATCTGTCTTACACTTTTTTACTTTGCCTTAGGTTTTGATCGTACAATACCTGGCTACGGTAGGTACCGAATGGCAGGTGATCCGGATCAAGGAGTTCATAACTTAGTGATTGAAAATGCCCAGTTAGAAGATGACGGAGAATATCAGTGTCAGGTGAGCTACAATATAAATATTTACAAACTACTCAAAAGCTTTAGGATATTTTTTTATGTATGTATAAAATACCAATAAGTTCCAAAGCTTCTAAAGATAAATATATAACATATGATAAAAAAATCAGTGCATATAGATTTTGTATTTGACTCTTTTTCTCTCTCAAGGTAGGGCCAACTCCGGACAATCATGCTATCCGTGCAAATGCTCTACTCATTGTGTTATGTAAGTATATAAACTCATCAAATATAACTATTAATTTGAAAGTATCTGAGCGAAAACTAGATTAGTTTTTACATATCTGTACTTTGTTTTACTAAATTATTTCCACAGCAGTCATGGCGTACTGTTAAAAAGAAACAGTTTTGTATGATCCTCGTTTCTTTATTACGAGGCCTGGCATGGCCCGGTGGTTAGGGTCGCAGGTTCGAATCCCCGTGACACCGAACATGTTCACCCTTTTAGCCGTGGGAGCGTTATAATGTAATGATCAATCACAATATTCGTTGGTAAAAGAGTAGCCTACAAGTTGGCGGTAGGTGATGTTGACTAGCTGCCTTCGCTTTACTGCTAAATTATGGACGGCTAGCGCAGATAGTCCTCGAATAGCTTTGCGAGAAATTCAAAACAAACTAAAACTTATCATACAAAAAGCTATACCTGAGGTGTAGCAAGTTAACAACAGATAACTATGTGGCAGGTTTCCAGAGTGGGTGTTTAAAAATACCCTCATGATTTCACTGCTGATGAAAGACTTTGTTCGCTTGTGAGTTGTTAGTCATCTGATTTACTGCCAGATCTTCACGACTCTCTTCAGGAAGATTAGCCGCTAACAAGACAGAAATAAACTTCATAAATCCTTAGTTAAGAGTCCTCGATAATATAAGATACATCGTTTCTTCGTCTACATGAAAATATGAAATAGGTTCGTGCTCGAACATAATTCGAGTTTCTTAATGAACCGTATATGCCAAACAAAATTACTTAACATATGAGATAACCTACAATTTCCTCAAGCGTTTTAACACCTATTTGCGTAATGTGAGGTAACGTCCAGAGTCTACCTGCCATTACTGTAACTGATGTCAAATCGTGAGAAGGAAAACTTTTTGATCTAAGTTACACCAGCCCCCCCCAGTGGCACAGCGGTATGTCTGCGGACTTACAACGCTAGAAACCGGGTTTCGATACCCGTGATGGGCAGAGCACAGATAGCCCTTGTGTAGCTTTGTGCATAATTAAAAACAAACAAACTAACTAACCACGTCACACCAAGATTAACTTACAAAGTTTTATTCCAATACTGTGTCCTCAAGTTAGTGGGCCGCATCTATTCCCCTAGCTAATCTTATCCGGCCCCCTAACACAGCATTTAGTAAGCGGAAAACAGAAATATAGTGCTCTTGACTTAAAGACTTGTTGAACGATAATTTATATTTGAAGTTTAAAAAGTTGAACCTCGAATGTTTCCATTTCTAATCACTTACTCCTACATTACTTCAAGGTTGGACAACCATGCTCTAAAAAAAAAAAACTGGAAGATAACAACCGTTAACCACAGATACCCCAAGTAGTGGCTGCCTTTAATAGAAAACTATTAAGCTCCTTGTTACTCAGAATACCTATCGAGTTTTGTGTTCCAGTACAACCCTCGCTTGTTACACACCTGAAAACATTCTCATAAAGATCGTTCGTGTGTTGTTGTTTTTTTTTCTTCCATTATTCTAAGTACGTGTTGGGCATTTCCCAAAGAGATTCTTAGAGAGAAAAAAAAATACGTCTTTCAGTGATGCTTTTGAAAAGTGTATTTCTTTCTTTTTTATTTATCGTATTACGCCATTATATAAGTTTCCATACAAGTTGGCCACTTTACTGAGGGAGTATGTAGACTAAAAGTAACGTATTGATTTTACTAAAACTCTTCGTTTCCCAAAGCTTTCAGTCAAATGTTATAACAACAAAGGTTTTTTTCTCCAGCTGGTTTGTTTTCACTTTCTTTACGTTATCATTATTTAAAAAAAAAAAGTTTGTTATACGGCTAGGTTATCTTTAATTGGTTGATATTTTTAAATCTATTACCTCATGTTTTTTTGTGGATATCATTTTCTATCGGTGATTTAAAAAAATTAACTCTCTCGGTGTTCATTTGAATTCCTTTTTGCCATCTTTTTTTTTTGAAATTTTAATCCGTAAAATCTTTTATTCAAGGCAAATGTGACTTGTAACTTTAATATACCTATCACATTATATTTCTTTACTAGCATTTTCTGCAACGTATGTCTTTATTTGCTTCCTAAGTATTTTTCAGAGAGTTCAGTTGCAAGGTTACAAACAAGAGTATATAAATTATTTTCTTTCAAATCTATTCCCCTGGTGGAACAGACTTACAACGCTAAAATCCGGGGTTCAGTTCCACGTGGTGGATAGAGCGCGGATAGCATATTGTGTAGCTTTGCTACGAAAAACAAACAAACAAATTTCTAGAATTAAATTCAAAAGAAAAGCTAATTTTGTACATAAGCTAAATATCTGAATCATCAATTGTAATTTAATTGACTTATATGCGGAAGTATAATTTACAATAGAAAGGAGTATGAGCCTTGTTAGTTTACAATAGAAAGGAGTATGACCCTTGTTAGTTTACAATAGAAAGGAGTATGAGCCTTGTTAGTTTACAATAGAAAGGAGTATGAGCCTTGTTAGTTTACAATAGAAAGGAGTATGAGCCTTGTTAGTTTACAATAGAAAGGAGTAAGAGCCTTGTTAGTTTACAATAAAAAGGAGTATGAGCCTTGTTAGTGTACAATAGAAAGGAGTATGAGCCATGTTAGTTTACAATAGAAAGGAGTATGAGCCTTGTTAGTTTACAATAGAAAGGAGTTTGAGCCTTGTTAGTTTACAATAGAAAGGAGTAGAGCCTTGTTAGTTTACAATAGAAAGGAGTATGAGCCTTGTTAGTTTACAATAGAAAGGAGTAAGAGCCTTGTTAGTTTACAATAGAAAGGAGTAAGAGCCTTGTTAGTTTACAATAGAAAGGAATATGAGCCTTGTTAGTTTACAATAGAAAGGAGTATGAGCCTTGTTAGTTTACAATAGAAAGGAGTATGAGCTTTGTTAGTTTACAATAGAAAGGAGTATGAGCCTTGTTAGTTTACAATAGAAAGGAGTATGAGCCTTGTTAGTTTACAATAGAAAGGAGTTTGAGCCTTGTTTTTAAACATGTTTCAGTACCACCCACTTCTGCGAACTTTAGTGACCACGTTAACGGCAGTACAATAGAGATTCACCAGTTTCAATCCCTCAGTCTTACATGCACTGTGACCGGTGGTAAGCCAGCAGCCGAGATCAAATGGTTCCGCAACGATGTAGAGCTCAGACCAGGTGAGAAAGATAACATCAGTGTCTTAATGTATAGTTGTTGCATCTGTGGATGTTAACAATGTTGTAATACATTATCTGTTTTGATAATGATGCAATAATAATACTGATACGCAGAAACTAAGGGAGAAATGAGTGATACATTCTACTTGCGAAGTTTTACAAAGTGGAGATAAACAGTAAAAATGTAGAATTAACAATTATTAATTGTATTATTAATTGAAGAATATTATTTGATATTTTGATATTGAGTCTTTCGGTAATGTAGTACTATCAGTACGTTTGGTTCAAACAAAAAAAAACATGCTTTTCTTCACAAATGTTTATCTTTTCAGATGATGTTGAAACTGATACCGAAGAGGGGGAAAATCAGAGATTCAACACTATCAGTACCATCACACTAACTCCCAGCCCTGACGACAACAACGCCATCTATACATGTCAGGCAGTTCATCCTGCATTGGTCCAACCGCTAAAAAGCTCCCTGATACTTAGTGTCCTGTGTAAGTAAAAAAAAAAAAAAACGACGCATCATTTAAATAGATTCCTTTAGAAGAATTTTAACTTAACGAACGAGAGAATCACGAATCACGAAAGAGAGAAACTTGTTTAATTACTGTTAAATCATCCATCATATTCCTGCGCAAATGAACGTTATCAAACAACGTATCAGATATTATCTCACTAACACTTAATGCGTGAATTGAATGTGTCTATCAAATGCCCTCCAGTGGCCCAGCGATATGTCCGTGGACTTACAATGCTAGAATTCGGGTTTCGATACCCGTGGTGGGCAGAGCACAGATAGCCCATTGTGTAGCTTTGTGCTTAATTACAAATTCTGATCGATATATTTTGTTTGTTTTGGTGTGCTAATAATTTTGTGAATATGTATATAGATATTTGGGTGTTATATATATCAATATAAATTAACTAAGCTTTTTCTTTCCCAACCACCTTATTAGTAATTCCTGTAGAAGTCCTTAATTTAAAACACTTTTGTAGAATATCACGCCTTCTGCCGGCGAAGTGTGTGATATTTTTGTCACTAATTTGGGTAACATCACAAGAGGACCGATAATAAGTATATACCATAATTATTTATGTTTAAATCGCACACCTTTCTGTACTACACGCCGCTGCCGAATAGGTCTTTCGCGTAATACTAGAGTTCACTATATCGGCCGGACATGGTATAAATAAAGCCTGGTCGAAATGCTATTTAGTTCTTTTTACTGGAAGCCAGTTAGGCCCAATAAAGAAATATTTATCCAAAATTATTATTATGAATGTTGCTATATAAGTTGATACTTAAATAGTTTTATTCATTATGTTTTAGGTAATATTAAACAAATAACTAACTAGTTACAGTTGGCATATTAGTCTTTTGATGAAAACAATTCATTGAAGCTCGTTTTTGAAGTATACCATTACTTACAACTGTTTACGTTTCAGTGAATACTGACTAATATTCTTTGGTAAATCATTTTTAAAGTATACCATTACTTCACAGCTGTTTACGTTTCAGTGAATACTGACTGATATTTTTTGGTAAATCATTTTTGAAGTATACCATTACTTCACAGCTGTTTACGTTTCAGTGAATACTGACTGATATTTTTTGGTAAATCATTTTTGAAGTATACCATTACTTCACAACTATTTACGTTTCAGTGAATACTGACTAATATTCTTTGGTAAATCATTTTTGAAGTATACCATTACTTCACAGCTGTTTACGTTTCAGTGAATACTGACTGATATTTTTTGGTAAATCATTTTTGAAGTATACCATTACTTCACAACTGTTTACGTTTCAGTGAATACTGACTAATATTTTTTGGTAAATCATTTTTGAAGTATACCATTACTTCACAACTATTTAAGTTTCAGTGAATACTGAATAATATTTTTTGGTAAATCATTTTTGCAAGATTTTTATAAGATTTCTTTCTTATAAAACTATATTAGTTTACATCCAAAATGAATGAGTATATCACTATATTTTATTTAGTAATTTCATTATCCCTGAAGAATAAACAAAACACAAATAGCATCGCTTATCAACAGTTTTGTAAAAATTATTTTATATTTTATAGTGGATGATGAGCTCAAGCAAAAGTTAGATTATTTAAAATTATTTTTCACAATCAGAATTATTGATATTTTTTTTTACAGATCCACCAGGACCACCAGCAATTGATGGATTTCAAGAAAGTGAGACCGTACGTTCAGGCGATACGCTAACATTGTCATGCATATCTAGAGGCGGGAATCCTTTAGCCCAACTTGTCTGGTTTAAGAACGACCAGCAAATTGATTTTTCCTACACGACAAGTGGCCGAAAGTCAACTAACAAGCACACGTTTGTTGTAGACAAATCCGATAATCACGCCATCTATCGGTGCGAGGCATCAAATATCATTAGTTCTCAACCTGCGAATGCTCTTGTGAAACTATCGGTTTTATGTACGTTTCATGCACCAAATTCATTTTAGAACGTATATATTTTTTTTTCTGTTGCTCTTAATTATTTTAAATTTGTACACAATGAGAAACAACCTATCCGTTAAGGGCTAATCCAATTTAAACTTTTAATATATTGTGGAAAAGTAAATTCAAATAAGTGAAATATATCTGAAACTGTAAAAAATTATCTTTAATTTAATTACGATTAAAAGTATCCAAAATATTCTGATTAAAAGTATTCCTATAAACCAAACAAACAATGTTTTGTCATTTTTTTTTTTTTCATTTTAAAACGTATCAATTAGCGCGATTTATTTAATATTCGCATAACAACTTATAATTTTTCCGTAGTTTAGAAACTAATCTGAGTGAGTAATTCCACAATATATGTAGTTTTTGTCAGATTTGTTTGCCATCATTTATATATATATATAATGATAATTTTTGATACACATTGTTTTTCTGCAGGAAACATGTTTAATTAATATTAATTCAAAACACGTATGTTTTGTATCTGCTTACCAAGATCCATAGATATAAAGACTGTAATGAGAAATTGTTATACATTGTTCGGTGCCTTAATACATTAATGAGCCTAGCAGTATCGGAGATCCACGTATAATTTAAATCAGTGATTCTGAACGTGGGACGCACGCCCCACAGGGGGCAATTTGAAAATGGTACAATAAGAAATTTTTTCAATTTGTGTGTGAAATTTTGGTAAATTAATAAACTTTACATTATATTATCATACCTTTTCAACATCAAATTTATTTTTCTATTAAGGGGGCATCAAATTTTTTAAGGTGTCGAGGTGGGGCATGGAGAAAAAAAGGTTAAGAACCACTGCTTTAAATGGTTTTAGTGATTTTAAACGTCATACGAGCATACAGCCAACTAATAGTTGTTTAATGCTGTGAACTACTGAAGCGGTATCTGTGAACGTCTTATGATATAGTTTCCCTCCCAGTTGACAGCGATCAGTTTGCGGACTTATAACACTAAACACAGGGTTACGCTAACCATGGTGGGTACAGCACAGATAGCCCATTGTGTAGCTTTATATTTAACTACAAACAAATCTAAAGCTGGCTAGCTAGATGCCCATATATAAGCTAATGGCTCCTAACCCTTTTACTCCGCGTAACTCCAGTCAGACCTTTGAGCCAGCGGCGTACCCCTAACGCATATAATTTGTTGTTGTTTTTTAAATAAGAGTAGTTTATATTAATATAAACGTATATAAAAATAAATAATTCAAGGGAGAATCAACAATAAGCATGAGGTTTATTTTATTTTTAATATTTTTCAAAGGTTATAAGGTACCCCAGAAAGTTCTCCACACACACCACCCAGGGGTACGAGTACCACAGGTTGAAAACTCCTACAATAAACATAGTAAACATATAAAGTTTTCATTGCTATTTTTGAAGTCAAGTTTATACATTGAATATTGCATCGTTGAAAACTCCTACAATAAACATAGTAAACATGTAAAGTTTTCATTGCTATTTTTGAAGTCAAGTTTATATATTAAATATTGCATCATAGAAATTGAAAATACTCCAGTTTTGAACTTTCACCTTATACTAAATCCGGTATCACGAGAGTTATGTGTTTCAGTGTTCTGATCTTGAGACATTTTGCTTAAGACATATTATAACAGTGCTGAAATGTTTCAGTTCCCCCTTCTGAGGTTGCCGTTAATGGTCCGAAAGAAGCCAAACCAGGAGAGACAGTCACTATGACTTGTTCGGCGAGTCGCAGTAATCCAGCAGCTGAAATCAACTGGTTGGTAGATGGGCAGCGTGTGCAAGGAGCAAATTATATTACACCCGATCCCGACGGGGGGTGGACAACTAGGTCTAACATTACTGTCATCATTAGGTCACAGGTATTATGTCGTTCCCCCGGGAAGTTTTCATACCATCGTTATTATTTTTTTATCAAAACTACACTGCAGCTATTGCATTAGGCAGAAAATTAAATACAGATAATTCTTAAAAAGTATTATTATTATGTGTTTACAAACGGTAGGAACAATTACATTATAAATGATAATACATTGAATTTGAAAATCAAAATTTATTTCAGTCATTATTAATGGGCCTGGCATGGCCAAGTGGTTAGGGCGCTCGACTCGCAATCTAAGGGTCGCGGGTTCGAATCCCCGTCCCACCAAACATGCTCGCCCTTTCAGCCGTGGGGGCGTTATAATGTTACGATCAATCCCACTATTCGTTGGTAAAAGAGTAGCCCAAGAGTTGGCGGTGGGTGGTGATGACTAGCTGCCAGTCTTACACTGCTAAATTAGGGACGGCTAGCGCAGATAACCCTCGTGTATCTTTGCGCGAAATTCCAAAAACAAACAAACAATATTAATGGTTTATTTTTCTTTAACTGTGATTGTAACATGTACTACTTTTTCCTAACTTACATTTTGTGTGACTTGAACTTGCAATGCTTTAAATGATAACATTTTATACTGGCAGGACCGAGGATCAAAGATATTTCAATGTTTTACTGTAAACAAAGAACTAGGAGAGACAATGGTGGAATCCCATGTTCTGAGCATTTTGTGTAAGTTACAAATTCTAGATTTTAGTATTGTGTATTAAGAAGTTGGTTGTATAAGTAGATTCAACTTTTAGCCTTCCAAATGTAATTTCCATTGTTTATTTATCGATTTAGAAATAATCCAAGCTTTAATTTGATATGTTCTAGTTAGTTGTTTATTTCCAGAACTCCTAATTACAAAAAAATAAACGTCCTTTTAAGCTAATTATATTATCTAATTCTTAAATCCCCATTAGATCCCCCTGACCCTCCTACCATTCTTGGTTACACTGAAGGGAAGTCGATTCGAGCTGGAGAGCTTCAGCGGATAACGTGTGTTTGTAACGGCGGGAACCCTCTTCCTACTTTGAAGTGGTTCAGAGGAGATCAAAAGGTATAATATTGGTGTTTATCACTTATACGAAGATATAATGTTGCTTTTATCACTTACTCAAAGGTATAATGTTGGTGTTTATCACTTAAAGGTATAATGTTGGTGTTTATCACTTATTCAGAGGTATAATGTTGGTGTTTATTACTTATTCAAAGGTATAATGTTGGTGTTTATCACTTATTTAAAGGTATAATGTTGGTGTTTATCACTTCTTTAAAGGTATAATATTGGTGTTTATCACTTAGTTAAAGGTATAATGTTAGTGTTTATCACTTATACGAAGATATAATGTTGCTTTTATCACTTACTCAAAGGTATAATGTTGGTGTTTATCACTTAAAGGTATAATGTTGGTGTTTATCACTTATTCAGAGGTATAATGTTGGTGTTTATTACTTATACGAAGATATAATGTTGCTTTTATCACTTACTCAAAGGTATAATGTTGGTGTTTATCACTTAAAGGTATAATGTTGGTGTTTATCACTTATACGAAGATATAATGTTGCTTTTATCACTTACTCAAAGGTATAATGTTGGTGTTTATCACTTAAAGGTATAATGTTGGTGTTTATCACTTAGTTAAAGGTATAATGTTGGTGTTTATCACTTATTTAAAGGTATAATGTTGCTTTTTATCACTTATTTAAAGGTATAATGTTGGTGTTTATCACTTATTTAAAGGTATAATGTTGCTTTTTATCACTTACTCAAAGGTATAATGTTGGTGTTTATCACTTATTCAAAGGTATAATGTTGGTGTTTATCACTTATTCAAAGGTATAATGTTGGTGTTTATCACTTATTCTCAGCTTGAAGCTCGTCATGATTAGATATTATTATAATTATTAGCCAAATATCACTAAGGATAGTTTAATGTCTTTAGGTTTATTAGATGCTAATACAGGTGTTTTTAAAGTAGAACTTTAGACAGAGTATACGTAGTAGGTTTGAGAAGTTTAATGAACTGTTGGAAGGAAGAGAGACGACGTTTCGGCTTCTATACTGAGGTCTTCTTCATTTGCAGTCCACTAAAGTACTCAAACCTGTTAATACAGGTGTCTAAAGGAAATTGTTACTATATTTAAAAATATTTAATTGTTTATTACTAATAATATTATACTTTTAAGGAAATGCATGGCATTTCTGATGACAGAAAGATTGATCACTGAAATCCATCGCTTAAAAATAAAATGGTTTAGTATTAAATAATTAACATTTCAGATTCAATCAATGGAGTTTGGCTATCATTTTTTAATATTTTAATTAGTATTAGAAACCTTAAAGATCTTGTGATTAATCTGCTTAACCAATTCCATACCAAGATAGATTACGTATTTCTGGAATTATAAAACATATTCGTTTGTTGTTGTTGTAAGCGTTTCTCCTGAGTAGTTTTTAATGGTTTGAAATAGGTAAAATCAGTTACCTTGACGAACGGTAATGTCGTCAACAGCGAAGTTTCTATAGAAACCAAAGAAAGCGACAATGGTGCAGAATTCCGTTGCGAAGCTGATAACTCAGCCACAGACGAACCTCTCGTCGCTAAGATTAAACTGACTGTTTACTGTAAGTTATGATTTTGTGAAACTGCACTCCATCGTACAGCTTTTTACATCTCACATTTAAAGAGTGATCTAAAGACGCACGCAAGTCTGAAAAGTTTTTGTTCTTTTTTTTCCGATACCTTGTTATGTATATAGAAATATTTAGAAAATATTATTTTATTGATCTAATACGACGTCGAAAAATATAACACCAGGCTCAATTTTACCATCATTAATTTTTTCTTTAGATTTTGTTTAAAATATTAATCGCATGAAAATGTTCATTGTTTTCTTGTCTTTTGATTTAAATATTCCTCATATTTATAATAGACGATTAAATACTGGCAACGTTACTACTGATTTTGCTACACTTAGTTAACTAATGGATTTTTGTAAAATTCTCGCAATTAAAAAAAATGTTTATAATCTTAAATAATATAGAGGCAATGGCGTTAAATGCAAAATATTTCTAGACCTTAATAATAATATATCGTAGTATCTCTAGAGAGGTCTTAGCACTTCCTATATTTCTGTCCAGTTCCACCTTCTGGAGTGACCATAAAAGTAAAACCCCAAAATCCGAAAGCTGGTAAAAAAGTAAGTTTTTTTTTCAGCTTGAATTTTGTAGTCGTCTCATGAATAAAAATAACTGTGAATCTCTTTCGTTATCATCACAAGAGAAAAGCATTATTTGTTAAGAAATAAATGTCAACATTATTTTGTTTTTAAATCCACATCAAGAAAATTATTTTTTACCAAACTCTGTAGTTGAGAGGGCTTTAAGTTTTAAAACTGTTATAAAAATTATATTTTTGCTATTTTATAAAAACGAAAAAAGGCATGATTTGTATTAAAAAAACGTCCACGTTATTTCAGAATAAAGACAATTATTTTTTACCAACTCGTATAAAAATCATGTTTTCTGCTACCGTTATAACAAGAAAAAGGCATGATTTGTTTCAAAAAATAACGCTCACATTATTTTGTTTCTAAATCCCCATAAAGAATGTTATTTTTTACAAAACTCTATAATTGAGTGTACTTTAAGTTTTAAAACTCGTAACGGGATCATGTTTGCTGCTAATTTATTGCAAAATGATTTGTTTAACGTTTCGAATGTGAAGAAAAGTTTAACATAAAGCATTCATCATTTGTAATTATAGGTTTTACGTATTGTGTCGGTGATTGAGTTCTATTGTAATTTAAAATATTTGACAGGAATTTTTATTTTATTTTTCAGGTGAAGCTTATTTGTGAATCTGCCACTAGTAATCCAGCTTCTATCATCACCTGGTGGCGTGACGGGTTTCTTATTCAAGGTACACCAAAGGGCTTTTCGGATGCCTCTCACGGTGGCAAGTCGACAAGAAACCAATTACAATTAAATGTAACATCAGAAGACAATGGGGCACGGTACACTTGTCAAGCAACGAACGAAGTGTTAGAGAGAAGCGTACACAATGCTGTTACTCTGAACGTAATGTGTAAGTGGTGAATGTTCTTGTTATGTATGATTTCAGCGTCTGTGATAACAGTTCTACGACGCAACAACAAAATAAAATTTATCTTTACCAACCATAACGCTTTGGCAGCTTGACTTTTGACCATCTTTTTGGTCAGTCAGGCTTAAACATGGAATGGTTACCGATTCTTTTTCTTGTATTCACTGTTACACTATCGTTGCCATGAAGAATGAATGTGTGAAGTTAGTGAAACGGTTTGTTACTAACCTCTCTTTGGATCAATATTTCTCAAAGCACAGCATTTATTATCTAAGTTCAGCTTTACTTTAAACTATACTGCTAAATGTACATTTTCTGATACATTATTGTAAAGTTATTTATTTGACATTTGAAATGTAAGGGAAAGTGAAAAAAAAAACAATAACATGGCAAAAAATGTAGTCTGTATAGTCATTTACGTTAATATAAAGATATCACAAACTGTGACACGCTTTGAGTACCTGTGCCAAATGCACAGAAAAACTAACAGATTGAGATACTAATAGCTGGATAAAGAATATATTTTAATCTACAAGTTTTGAAGGAAAAATCAAAGTTTTTTTTTTTAATCGAACCAATGATTTTTCCCAACTCCATTCATTAAATTATCCTTTAAAAACGTGTAGTTTAGTCTTATCTTTTAATTTTTATAATTTCAGTAAAATCTTTGGCATTTTAACAACATCACAAATGATCGAATATTCAGTATTTTATCTGTTGTTTAGTGACATTCACAAGTGTAATTGTTAGCATTTATACGACGAAATATTGTTTTCTTGTTAATCGCAAATGTTTTTGTCAGTAATATCTGATGCATACATGTTTTTGTCAGTAATATCTTATGCATACATGTTTTTGTCAGTAATATCTTATGCATGCATGTTTTTGTCAGTAATATCTTATGCATACATGTTTTTGTCAGTAATATCTGATGTTCAAAAATAAGGGTTTACAGGTGTTCCTTATCTGTGCTTATAAACAGTTCTAGCTCTGCTTTATATTACAAGTCAAAGTGTTAATAACGATCTAATTCCATGGCGAGTCGCATTCTCTTATCCAGTTTTATTTCAATACGTGTAAGTTATAAACGCAATAATGGCGGGAACAAACTCTCTAAGTGTATACGTTATAAGCGAAGACCACTTCTTGACTGGATCGATAATTATCAGTGCACGCGTAAAGAATATATACAACTAAATACGCACAGTTATAGCCCACAGTCAAACTTCTACTATTCAAAAGTACTTACATTGAACATTAAGGACAATAGTGATCTCTGACGTTCCTTCATCATTGGTAGCCTCACATTTAAAAGTACCAGCATCAGTTCTTTCAACATTGGTGACATTTATGATTGGACCATTTGAAAAAACTCCGGAATATTTGATTTGGTTTGTTTCAATATCGGCTAGAGGGTTTCCATCCTTTGTCCAAGCGTAGGTAATGATGTCAGGGTTTCCCCTAGCGGTCAAATTGATAAAAGTAGATTCTCCTTCTATGATATCGAATGTTTCTGATGGGGATGTGTAAAATTCTGGCTTGTCTGAAAATTCATGTCAAAATCACTTCTGCGCCAAGTGATAACATTGTCTGTCAAAGGATTGGCATCCGCCACACATTCTAGGTAAGCATTGGCACTGTGATCCACCATAGTGACTTCGGTAACTTTGGTTATGGACGCTGGGTCTGAAATATAACATACAAGTAAACAAACGTCGTACTAAGCAATCATTAGAAGATGGCCGATCGTTCTTGACTGTCTACAATGTGTCCCGAGAAGACTCAGGAGAGTTTGAATGTGTGGCAAACAATGATATTGGAGAGAAGGATGTTAAAACCTCCCATTTAGTGGTAAAACGTATGCATTCAATTTTCAAAGGTTTTTCTTTTTATTTTAGCTGTCTTTGTAAATTAAAGACCTAGGTTTCCTGACACTACTAAATATGAAGTGAAAACATTATAAGAAATTCATCTTTATTTTCGTTGGACTTTGGTTAATGTAATTATTATCATCAAACAATTCGTTGGACTTTGGTTAATGTAATTATTATCATCAAACAATTCGTTGGACTTTGGTTAATGTAATTATTATCATCAAACAATTCGTTGGACTTTGGTTAATGTAATTGTTATCATCAAACAATTCGTTGGACTTTGGTTAATGTAATTGTTATCATCAAACAATTCGTTGGACTTTGGTTAATGTAATTATTATCATCAAACAACATGAATTTCCCCTTTATTCGCCGTCTTTTCGAATGCAGGTTACCGAGATTATATGTTAGTAACCGAAATGGCATGTTATTTTAAAAGTCAGAACATTAAATTCATAAATACTAGTACTTACGGCAATATTGTGTCAATCAGATATCAGTCATTATCATGATTAGTAGCCTATACGGACATCCAAGCCTATTTATTAATTACTGACTATGCTTCATTATTTCTCATATAACTAAATACTAATTACTAATTAGTTTTATCCCACTTTTCAAAAGAGAGGTATCCAGATTTTACTGTGCTAGGTTTACTGGGTGTAATATTCTTATATGTGATTCATATTCGATTATTGTAGTAATATTCCAGTTTATTTCATGGTCTTATTCTCTGATATGATATGTTATTGTAAAGTCTTGCGCCCCCCCCCCCAGTGGCACAGCGATATGTCTGCGGACTTACAACGCTAGAAACCGGGTTTCGATACCCGTGGTGGACAGAGCACAGATAGCCCATTGTGTAGCTTTGTGCTTTACTTCAAACAAACAAACAAATAAAACAAAGATAGTCTTGAACTCTGTTACTTTTCTGAATTGGTCTTTTCTTTTTGTTTCTCCGATGTATTGGAATCCATATTAATAGTGGATATTATAAATGGTGTTTTCCTCTACATTACGTTTTTATGTGGTTTGTTGTGCACTAGCTGCGATCGTATTATGCTGTGGCTTCTGTATACCGTTATGACTTTATGTATTCTCTGTGTATTTTAAGAAAGACCTCTGACGTAGGAGAATATATCTGTGTGTTTTCAGAGAGACCTCTGACATAGGAGAATATATATCTATATGTTAGAAATTTTATTTCTGTTTATTCTTAATGTTTATCTCCATTATTAAACTTCCAAATGTACGGATGGTTTTAGTGATACATCTTTTTTCCTTCTTCTTAGCTTCTTCCGCATTACAAACCTTGTTCATTTTGGAAACTAGGCAGTCCACGACGACTCTCTTCACCTTGTTAATTATTAATTAATTAATAATTAATTAAGACTTAGGCTGCTAATTACACTTCTAATATTGCTAACGATACTGAAGAGTAATAGTATTTTTGTCGCCTTCAAAGTTTAAACAGAACTATTTTCTAGATCTTTAGATGAACGACAACCATCTGATTCCTGTTGATGTAAGAATCTTAATTGTTTTGACTTAAGGATGAGAGAAAGCAAAAATATTTAAAAGCCTTAAAGATACCTTGTGTAAGATAAAAAAGAATAATTAATAACCGTGCAGTATTTAGTGCTAACGTTTACAATAAGTATATTATAATTATTTTTGTAATCTTTCAAAGAACAGTAACATTAACCAGATTTTGCTCTATTGTAATCAGATAGTACTGATGGAAAGTAACTTAAGGCTTATGAGCTACGTATTTCCTTGATATGCTTTTGTGATGAAATAAGTAAAGTATTTGATCATCTTACTAGACAAACCCATCATTGACCGATCGCCACCTCTAAGGAAGGCTGCCAGTGAAAAGGGTGAAACCGCTAATATTATGTGCAGAGCCGAAGGGGCACCAAACATTACTTTTACGTGGTCACGAGAGGGCGCCACCATCGATAGCGACACCAAACCCAAAAAATACGAAACCGAAACGTTAATGGTTGACTTAATTACATGGGAAAGCGTTCTCCAAGTAAAAGATGTGAAAAGTCATGACTATGGGCTGTATGAATGTGTGGCCAGGAATGAATTAGGTTTCGATAGCACGAAGATTAATCTGGATTTAACAAGTATGTCCATTTCTTTTCGTTTTAAAATAATAGAAGCAGTCGTAGTGATGAGTATAAGATAAATCTTAACATATACCCGTTTCGGGTAAACAATAAATTCTTATTCGAATAGTGTTGTCGTTACTCACCCCACCCCCTTACAGAATATTCTAGACTTGTTATTTTTTTTCGGTTATTATTATACAGGTCACCCTGATCCACCTGTCGCTGTAAAAATCTTGAATGTCACTCATAATTCCGTGTTGCTGAGTTGGATTCCTGGTTTTGATGGAGGACACTCTCAGGCCTATAGAATTCGTTACAAGAAAACCGACTACGAGGCGTTCCAGTATGCAGACGTGTATCCTCCTAATTCTACGATGTATACTGTTTCAGGGTTAGCTGCAGGTTTAGAGTATACCTTTAGCATTCAAGCGACTGCTAATATAATTACAACGAGTTGGGCTTCAGCGAGTATACAACTGACATATTAAAAGCTAAGACATCAAGTAAGTAGTCCATGATATTGCTATAGACTGCTAATATAATTACAACGAGTTGGGCTTCAGCGAGTATACAACTGACATATTAAAAGCTAAGACATCAAGTAAGTAGTCCATGATATTGCTATAGACCGCTAATATAATTTCAGCGCGAATTACAATAACTTTCTACGACAGTGTTAAATTTCATCTTGCGACCACTAATTTTGCTGTGTTCTATTGTGTCGATTTTTTAAAGTTCTGCGACAAGTTTATGAACTATTTTTTTCTTGCTTCAAACCTGGATTACTAATAATGTGTTATACCTTAGTTTTTCAAATTAGATAAACTTAATATATCAGGATGAATCAATATAACCCCCCCCCCATATTCATTTAATGGCGCGTTTATGATTCCTCGCGAAATTTAATTGATGTTGTTAATACGGATCTTGTTTACTTACAAAGAAATAATTTACCAACTTCTTAGTTTAATTGTATTGTTTTTCCTCATTTTTTTTCATGATCAAAAGGTGAAATTCCCGCCAGCGGAACGGAGCGGGCAATAACAGAAGTATTGTCAGGGAAGGGAGAACTTCCTCAAATAATCATCATTTCTGTTTCGGTCGTTGGAACCCTTTTACTCGTACTCAACATCATTCTTGTCATATGTTTCGTTCGACGAAGAAGGAAAAAAAGATTGGAAGAAGGTAATTATAGTTTGTGTACTATTTGAATTATTTAGACTAGAGAATCGTACTTTCCTCTATGCTGATGAATTTTCAAAATAGTTCTTCATCAAATGTTTGTACTTCATTTTCCTTGATCTTCTTTGAATCTTTGATTATTAAGGGAGAATTTCATGCAAACACTACTGAACTTCGGATTATTTACCCAGCTAATTTTTATACTCACATCAAAAGTAAGTAACATTTACCTCATGGTTTTTCAATTGCAAGAGAAATATCTTTCTCTTCGGTCAACATTAATTACTTAAATTATCCTTAGGCAAGGCAACTTATTCCAGAAAAGTTTTATTACTGAAGATAGGTAAAACTAAGCCTTTTCTTTCAAGGTTATTATAAAGACATTACGTTGCCCAACTTTGAGCAAAGTCAGAGGTTTATCAAAAAACTTAAATGCAATTATTGGTCGAAGATGTGTCACTCGGTCTTTTTCAGGAGGAAATTAATCATTGTTAAATAATTTCATATTGTTTTAACAAACATTTTACCATAACTTGAGTCAAATGGTTGTTATGTTATGGACTTAATATATATTGATAAATTTTATTAATCTTAATAATTAAAATGCTGAAACCACATAAACATTTTAAGCATTTCTACGAATATTAAAAAAAGGGCCCGGCATGGCCAGGTGGTTAGGGCACACGACTCGCAATCTGCGGGTCGTGGGTTCGAATCCTTGTCACACCAAACATGTTCGCCATTTCAGCCGTGGGGACATTATAATGTGACGGTCAATTCCACTATTCATTGGTAAAAGAGTTGTAAAAGAGTGTGTAGTGATGACTAGCTGCCTTCCCTCTAGTCTTACACTGCTAAATTAGGGACGGCTAGCGCAGATAGCTCTCGAGTAGCTTTGCGCGAAATCCATAACAAACAAACAATTTAAAAAAAGGCTATAGCACTATGTCACTACATAACTATAGAAAACAAGCAATTTAGCAAGAAAAATGGTGATTTTCAATCGAAGTACATTTCTTGAAAAAACACTAATAATAGAAAACGAAAATCTTAAATTCATAAGCCTAAATTACTTTCTTTAAACTGTAGTAGCTATCGATAAATGATTTCCATTATACTCTATTTTAACTTGCTAATTTCTAATATTTTACAACATTTTAGACTTAAGTATGTTTCTCTGGGAATTAAATTTGGAAAATCGTAATTGCGTGCAGGTAGATATCAATCCCAGAAGATCGACATTTGTTGGACGTGTTTATGATAGCAAGTTGGAACCTTTTCGAGAATCCCTTATTTTTATAGTATTTTTAAGCCTATTTAACGTTTTAACTCTATCATTTGCTGTTGTGTTCAGAACGTACGATGGAAACAGTTTATCACAGTTTGGCTTTGCTTCTCTTGGTCGATTTTTTTTAGTTTTTCTGGCGAATGTTGTAAAATGTAAAAGTAATTTAAGACAATGGTGTAATATTTTCTGTATCTTGCTTCCTAAAGGCCAGAGGGGGGGGGGAGGAAAAAAATCAGAATTGGCATAATTAAAAACTCAAGAGCCTTGTGGTATAAAAATGTTGGTAATTAAAAGCAATGATAAAAAATGAAGTTTACATGTACATGGTTGTTGCTGGAAATTTTCATTGTAGAAGAAAAAATATATCTGCCCACTTGATTTATTCTTTTTTCCTGCATGCTGCTTATGTAAGTGTTGCGGAGACTGTCCAAACTTTCTCAGAGTAAGTACACCAAAGCACATAAACCTATATGTTTGTTTTTGTCCCTCCTTCTTCTAACACGTCATTAATGTTCTCTAAAATATAATCACTTTATTTGAATAACCCCCCCCTTCCAGGGCAACATTGAGATGAACCACCTTTAGCCTAGATTCGCTGTGGATAGAACTACACAAAATACCAAACAGTGTGTAACATGTGTTTATGTATTTTCATCATTTTATCGATGGATATAATTTGTAACTGGTTAACAAATATCCTGAAAAATGGTGGCGAATGTGGCATTCAAGCTTATTTCGCAAATGCTGGTAGCTAAGAAAACGTCATTCATATTTTTAGAAATGCCTTCGGACAATATTTACCCAGTCGATTGTTGTAAAAGTGTGTAGGAAGAGTCACTCTCCATCAGTAATAAAATTCGGCATTGTGAGGTGGAAATGAATGACGACAAAGATTATGTATACTCTGAATGTCATTCGCCCTACTTAAGAACTTGATGGGTGCAACATTTGCCACGAGAACAGTCCTTACACCATTACAACACCTCCAACTTGTACTGTCTGAACATTAAAAACAGGATCAGTGTTCTCCGTCAACACAAAAAAGAGTAAAACACGACTCACCAGACCATATCATATGTTTCCTGTTGTTTATTTTCTACACTTTTTGCTCTGAGAACCACTGAAGCATGCTTTTTTTATTGTATTTTTGATAAGTGGTCTTCGGACTAGATGTGGGCTGCCATGTGACAGTGTTTATAATGACCTTTCAAAGATACAACTCAACACAGTCGAAATTTCCGAAACGCTTTTTAAAGGAACGAGTTAATTATAGCACAGTGAAACTTATGAAACGCTTTTAAAGGAACGGGTTAATTAGAGCACAATGAAACTTACGAAACAGTTTTAAAGGAACGGGTTAATTAGAGCACAG